GAGACAGACCACAAGCCTCTCATTGCATTATTAGGATCCAAAGCTATTTGTGATCTACCACCGAGAGTTCAGCGTTTCCGAATGCGACTCATGAGATATGAGTATGAGATATACCATGTCCCTGGTAAAACACTATACACAACGGACACACTTTCTAGATCGCCACAGCGAGAAATTGGAAGAGACGAGGAGGAGCTACAGACAGCTGTAGAAGCGTATGTAGATAGCATCATAGAAACTCTTCCTGCAAGTGAGTCACTTCTAAAAGAAATTCGGAGAAAACTGCATGAGGACAGCGTTCTGAGAATTATCATGAAGTACTGTGAGGAGGGCTGGCCTGGTTATGAGTATCCATCAATCGACCTTTTCACTCGTCCTTTTTGGCAGATAAGAGAGGAACTTTCCATCTGTCAAGGTTTACTCATGAGAGGGAATCGACTTGTCATTCCTACAGTTCTCAGAGCCGAGATGTTGCAAAGAATTCATGAAGGACATCAAGGGATACTGAAATGTCGGGAAAGAGTCAGGAATTCAATTTGGTGGCCAGGGATAAATCGTGAGATAGAAGACCTGGTGAAAAGCTGTTCGGTATGTGTGAAAAACAGACATGATCAAGCTGAACCTCTACGACCAACCAAATTCCCAGACAGACCATGGGAGATGTTAGGAACAGACTTGTTCCACCTGAAAAATGACAACTATTTACTTGTCGTTGACTATTTCTCTCGCTACGTTGAAATAGCCAAGTTGAAAAGCACTACATCACAGTCGATTGTAAATCATCTGAAATCGATTTTCGCTAGACATGGTATACCAGATATTCTGGTGTCTGACAATGGACCACAGTATTCTAGCTCAGTCTTTCAGACCTTCTCCAAGGATTATGGTTTTCGACATCAAACAAGTAGCCCTCACTATCCACAAGGAAATGGTGAAGCGGAACGTGCCGTACAGACTGTTAAACGTTTGATAAGAAATGCAGATGACCCGTACCTTGCATTAATGGCTTACAGAGCAACGCCATTAAAGAATGGAAGCAGCCCAGCCGAACTCTTAATGGGGAGAAAACTTCGGACAACTTTGCCGGAAAATCCAAGAAACTACTACCCGAAATGGCCAGACTTGGAAAGAGTACGTCAAGTGGAAGAACAATATCGTCAGAACCAAAAACTTAACTTCGACAAGTCAAGGAGAGCAAGACCGTTATCTCAGTTGAACGCCGGAGAGTTTGGGTGAAGGGAGAAGGAGGAGGAACAACTGGGACAGTCAAGGCCAGGACACAACAGAGCGACCGTTCTTACATAATTGAAACAGACAACGGACCAATTCGCAGGAATCGACGACACTTGGAACCAGCTAGTATGTTGAAGGATGAAGTATTCGCAAGTGATACTTTCGATGAAGATAACGCGCATTGTGAAAAAAATCCTCCACGTGAAAATGTGTGTGATGAAAAGTTGTCGTGCGAAACCCAAAACCAATCTGCGACAAATGTGAATAACAAACCTGTGCGCGTCGATCAAACAAGTTCGCGCATCACCAGATCTGGTCGAGTGTCCAAGCCAGTCCAGAGACTGGACATATGACTTGTATATTTCGTAACTGTGTTATTGTTGGTTAATGCATGATTTGAATTAGATAAATTCTAATAAGTAATGTTCGTTAAAGTTTCTAGTCAGTAATTTCTAGTCAAAGTTTTGTTTGTTGATGAAAATGCGACTATGTTTGTAATGCTACAAATGTCAAAAATATCCCCTGCCTTTTAAAGTAACTGTTTATTGACTTAGTAATATCTTGAAAAAAGGGAGATGTAGGATAATGTGTGTTATCGATATGTACATTATATGAAAGTTGAAACATTATATGTACGACTTGATATGTGTTTGTGAACTTCCGGTAATAAACAGCATGGCTCGCTCATGGTAGTTCTTCGTATATAAACGAACCCAGAACATAACAATTACACCACTTTTTGATGACGTACTACACAAAAAAATAAACCTCCATTGCTTCGACCGCTTTCCTCTGGGGACGAATTGTACAGGTACAAATAGATAGTCTCGTTCAACCAGACACTCAGCTGTCTCCGTAAAGCTGCGACCACCCAGAGGGTCTGGTAAAGATACGTGATATCGTTTGTAACGCCAAAACGAGGCTTACCGAAATTCTGGTAAAGTTTTTGATTGGCTGAAAAGAACACACCTACACGGTTTAAACAAATACATGATAAACCAGCAGAAAAATAACTTAAAGATGTAAAAGTTACATGTCTAAAAGTTAAAGCTGTTAGAGAGGAATTATTTACGGTAATGCCCACCAGTTATAGGTAAGTGTGTTTTATAATGTCTTGCAAATATTCTGTACGAAATCAAAGGTGAAAGTAGTGTAGCCCTACCTGCGTAATACACATTCCTTCGATTGATATTGTAATTTCTCGTTTGGTACCCCAAAATTAAGATTAGTTTATTAATATAAAGTCACAATCCAGAAGAAGAAACATATATAACATTTGAATTTCAAAAAGGATCGTCAAAATGAAAACAAGATAGCGCCCTCTGACGGTTACAAACGCTAACGTGATTCTTTACCAGACACTCTGCTGATCGGAGTTTACGGAGACAGCCGAGCGTCTGGTTGAACGAGACTAACAAATAGATGAAACATGCGGTGTTATAAACACTAAAACAGTGAAAAACAAAGTAACGGATTTATTATGCATAAACCAAGGGGGATAGCTTTTAAGCAGAAACAAAAGAAAACAACAGTCAAATCTTCGCCAAACAAGTAATGTGTAATTTCACATCGAAGCAGTGAGCTCTCTCAATCAATGACATGTTTGTATGGAGGAAATTCGAGTTAAAATCTTCTACGTTGTTGAAAACTTGAAATTAAAAAAAAAGTTATTTACTTGCACTATTTATTGTGTTCATGTTAATTTATATATGTATTTGCTTTATTAATTTAAATATATACTCTGGCAATATAAAGCTTTTTTTCTGAATTTTAGATGTAATGTTTAAACGTTCCTTTGTGTTTCAAGTCTTGGGTAATTAGGAAAGATAACTCTTGAAAGTGGACTTTTTATTCCAAATATTTTTTAAATTGGAATTTTCATTTCGTTTAAGCTTTCTTCATTCAATTTGTCACATCTAATTTATTGAAATACATTCCTTGTCTCTTCAAAACTCATTTTCTTAATATTTTATGCATAGATTAAAAAGATAATGAGATTAATTGTTTTTTAGGAGAAAATTATTTTTTCTAATAAAATTAATATTAGGTATTATGAGGTATTTTCATTGTGTGTACTTGTCTAAAGAAAGTGTCCATCACTTGACAATGAAAGTTCTGAAATTCTGGTAATAATAAACTTGAAATAAAACATTTCAATAAAAATAGACAAAATCTAAAAAATTCTCTAAAAAATATTTATGATATCAATACCTCCATTTGGATATTTGACATCTATATTATAAGTGGTGCTGTAATGAAATCTAAAATAAACTGTGGATGTAATGAGCCACCTTAAAACTCCATTTAATATTGCCAAATGTTTTGTTAAACATGCAATTTTTCATTTCTGTTAAGCAGACTCAAACGTAACTTCCGGTAATGGTATGAAAATCGTTCAACCGTAAAATTACCGATTATTACAAAATAGAAGATATGAATACTTTTGAGAAACAAAATTCTTTACTATATATATCATTATTTCCCCTAAAATAGGATGTTGCGATTCTTTTGCGTTTCAGTATATAAATCGAGGTCCCTGATCGTCGTATATGCTGGCACGAAAAAGATCTTTTAGTATAGGACTGAGGAAGTTGGGAGGTAAGTTTTAAAAGGTGGGCATCAGGAAATGAATGTTATTGCACTGTTTCGTAAAAACGTTTATGATATTTCAATACCTATATTTCAATTAGAAGATATTTATTTTACAGTCTTAAAACCTCATTGAACGTGTTAATGATTTCTCAAGGAAAGAAGTGGTTTAAATAAATCATGTATAAACACTTAATTTTAGTAAGGCGTTGTTGACACGACTAAATTAAAGAAATATTGAGTGAAAAACAAAAGTTCAATAATCTGAAGAGAAAGGAAGTAGTGATTTTACCATTGCTTACCGAAATATGACCTTCTACTAAAGCGGAGGATGTAAAATTGGGTGGGTTTGCTAGACTCTCATTCTATCAGTACGGTACTTTACTTTTTAGTTCAGGTAGTCATTGTAAATGATAGCTCCTGTATCAAAACTTTATGCCTACATGATCGAAGCATCAGGAGGGATCTACCGGTACATGAAGTTGTTCCCAGTCAGTCCGTCTGTCTAGCTGTTTGTTCCCCAAAACCTTAATAACCTTGCTCATAATTTTATTTGGTACAGCTATGGCTTTCACATTTCACAGCTGCGCTCCTTGTGACAATATCTACATTTACCTATACCAAACTTTTGACCATTTTAACATTATCATTTTATAGCCGTCTCTGTAGACCAAAAAGCTCAAATTGTTTTGAATTATCCGCCCTGATATAAAAAGAATCAAAACGAAGTTCATTGTTAGGTGTCGACGACTATATTGGGTTAGGAAGTGGATAAATCATGCAGGTTGGTAATAAAATATGTCTAGAATGAGGGAAAGCAAGGTTGTTGATTGAACAATGCTGGAAAATGGAAAAATTCTCCCTGGAACCCCGTAGATTGCACCATATTTGCATTACGAGATCTGTAGCTTTACACAAAACTAAAATATAAGACCATAACACTACAGTTCTGCAGTTATCAGCTGCCATACGTCGACATAAGTGTTTCACAAGCCTTTTATGTTTTTAAAAAAAAAAAAAGAAGAAAGAAAACACTTTGTAGACAAAAAATAGAGACAAAGTAGCTTATGAAATATTCAAGATGGCGACCGTGACGAACCTCGTAATTATTATTATACGAGAGGTTTTTTATTTATATATAAAAAAGAAAGGTTACAAACGTCAAGCCCCTGCGACAGCACTGTATACAATTTGTTTATAAGGAGAGGAGCGTATCAGAACCCCTTGTCTAGCGAAGATGAGAGAGATTGGAAGTAGAATTGACCTTGACCATTCACTCATTATGCTTAAAGTCATAGAGCTTTTTCTCTGGTAGACTCACTAACTCAGCACCTTATGTTTCATTGTAAAGTTCAAAGCAGTAAACTTATCCCGTGAATTTTTTGTGTAGATATGAATACTAGTATCTGCCCTTTTCCTTTATATCAGTCTCCTTATGAGTGAAAAATTCTCGAGAGAGACGTTAAACAAAATACAATTAATCAAATCAGAAGGCGTCTTTCTGAAGAAATATTAAGTTAATATGACGAAAATTTTATTGAAAAATTAACGGATAAAGTCGTTTTCCTTGAGTAGTTACTTTTACTACGAATCCCCTTCACCCATGGCAAGTTTGGCTTAAATTGGCTCAGCAGTTCTTGAGAAGTCAAAAATGTGAAAAGTTTAGATACAGCCAGACAGACGGACGCCGGGCAAAATGTGATTAGAAAAGTTCATTTGAGCCTTCAGCTCAGAAGAACTAAATAGACTCAGTCTTCAAATATAGTAGCGTTTGAAACAAGCGTCAAAAAAGACACTGGATTCCAAATATAAAAGTATCTTCTGCCGTGTCCGTTAAATACCATTACGTCATGAACACGAAATACATTCAGTAAATAACACAATAGAAGAGATGATATGAGTGGCCCCGAATAAATAGAAGCAGGTCACATAGGTTCCTGTCTTGTCCCTTAGGTCACCTACAAAAAATAGCAAATAATTATTAATCTTTACATTTAATTCTTATTTTTAAGAGAAAATAAAATAAGCAAATGAACTTCGAAAACTTGCCCAACTATTTTTTATGTGCTTTGTATGAGTGAAATTATATTTCTGACTACATATGTCAAAGGAAACTAGGATTAATTTACATTAAGACCTATTGTCTTGGTTCATGCACGTATTCGGAATGAGAACCAAATATTGTTTTCATGTGCCATCGGGTTTGGTTCGAGGGTTTGACAAAGCGCGCGAAAATCAGGTTTTGTGAAACCTCTAACATAGGTAATGAGAGATTTCAGAGCTCACCTCATCGAATGTTGTCTTTAAGTAAGGCAAAGACCCACATTAAATTAATAATCTAGTAATGTACACCACAAATACAGCATTTTTGCAATTTTGATCTGATTGGGCTTGCAATTACTTACGTAGGAATAGACTTATTAAAGAAATTAAGAAATTCGCTCATCCGTAAATGCAACTCAAATCCAGCATCTGAAAAAAAAATTTAAAAGCCTTCATCACTTGATGCATCATCCATGCAAGTTTGGTTCAGATAGGCCTTTTCGTTTCTTAGTAAAAGGCATGTACCAACAGTTAAACCCGGTCCATTATCTTGAAAATGTATGCCAGATCCTGCATCCGAAGCAAGTTCATTAGTGTGGATCTTTAGATGTATCATTCATGTAACTTTGATCAACATAGGTCTTAAAGTTTTTATGCAGGTCTCATATCCAAATACATCTGTAGCAACCCTGGCGTGTGCACCCTTATATGTATCATTCATGCAAGTTAGGACAGCATAGGGCATATAGTTACTTTAGAATGAACCAACTCTCCAAAGTTTAACCTGTTCAATTCCGTTAAATGTAGGTCAGATCCAGCATCCTAAGCAAGCCTGGTAGTTTGTATCCTTGGACATGTTAGATATACAGTATCATCAATGCAAGTTTGGCCAAAATAGGGCTTATTTATACTTGGAAATCAGAATTGCACTAAAAATATATAATATTACTCAAAAAATTGAACCGCGGATTTAAAATCATAATCTGGCCATTCTTTTGTTGAAATTGCAGCATCGGAAACCTTGACTGGTACAATGAAACACACTAGATGCATCACCCATGCATCTTTGACTTACGTAGGGCATAGAAATACTGAAAAAGAAAACTGCACCAAAACCTTGAACCTGGGACGTCAACATCGGCGCCGAGGGTGTCATAATTTAATTTCGGAAATATTTCGGATATACATGTATCTGCGTATACTAAATTAAATGCATGGGTGATGTATATGCGATGCAAGAAGACAAGGTAAATTTCATTGAACTCAAATGCAGACTAGTAACTCTAAGACATCAACTTTAGTAAAGCTCAATAACAGCTCACAAAATGAGTGTCAATAACAAAGCACCCAAACGTGCTAGAAAATGAAAACCCTAAATATCTCAAACGTAAAAAAAGGAGGCCACAACGGCTCTCCATTACAGGAATTCTGGGAAAGTCTCATTACACTTTCATCAATAGTATAAGAAGACTGAATAGAGATGGGTACCCTGATATTATAGACGGACTGGCAGTGTCGGTGTTTAGGAATAGGAAACCCCAATTAAGGTAGTCCGATCCTCAGGTTTATAAAATTAGCAGTTAAGTAATCAAAAATACTCATAAAAGTATCTCTGAATCTCTGAAGTTACGTAAATTTATTCACAAAATTGATAAACAAATATATTTTAGGTTAAAAAACGATAGGTATCCAGACATTCAGAAAAATTGTCATGATTTTATACTTTTTTGGGTATTTTTTGTCTTCTATTTCCATCATGTATTCTATAATACAAAGTGTAAAAGGCTTTTGCTATCACTGCAAGACACCACAAATCACTTCTTATTTCATATCATGCTAGTAAGCATTGGTATCTAAGGCTGGATTCAAGAAGATCTTATTTCTCTCAAACTGTATAATTTTTTTCCTTTTATAGGGTACAAATGTCAACTTTTATAAGACCTTTTCTAAGACTTCCAAAAACCTTGAATCAAGGTATAAAGATGAATAAAATGAGAATTTTTGCATGAAAAAATTTCATTTTCAAGCTTCATTTTGATGGATTTCAAATTAAATATTAATTTTTTGAGTTATCCTTCCTGGCTGACGATCGAATATCTTAATATTTGTCAGATCCAAAAGTTAAATGACACAATGGTACTTTGTAATAAGGATTTCGTGCAAGTCTGATTAAATGTTGTTATTTATACCAACCCTTTCTCCTTTTCCAAATTTACTACCATACGTCAATCATATTCTTTAATTCATCAACTTTGATATTATAAAAAGAGAAATATAGATAGACGCATAGCATTACCAATGAATGGGGATGCTGCACCGCTCACAATACCATACCCAGAATACATCACACTAAGCGCGCTCCGGAAGTCGTCGAGTCCAAGAATATCTAACAACGTAGCGGAATACAAGGCGGACATAAAGTTAGAAAAGAATCCGTAAAACACACTGAACAACAAAAGGCTCCAATAGTCTTTATAAAACGGAGACAAGCACTGAAGAACGCCACTTAGCGCCATGCTGACTGCTATTAAGTAAGATCGTTTGACTAATCTTTTGTCTGAAATATATCCAATCAGCAAGCGTCCGAGTAGATCGAAAAAGCTGCTGACAGTGATAAGCAATGCGGCATTCGTCGTTTCCGCTTCCTGTTCTATAGCCAGCGCCGGTAAATAACTCTGCGGTAGGGATGTACCGATAGATCCAACTGTGTAAGCGAATAAAAGTCGCATGAACGAGGGGTTTTTCAGAATCTTGAAATTGAAGAACTGTTCTTTTTTGATTGCGTTGATTTTCACTTCCTTGTCTTTGATCTCAGAATTTAAATCTAAAGCTGATACACTGATACAAAAGTTTTGAATAGTGTATTCTCCGAGCGGAGTTGTTAACTGACCATCAAGATCTTTAGATCTATGTATCATCTCGGTACTACTGCTTCTTGTTCCATGCTGGAATAGTCTCAACTTTCCATTCCGAAGGAAAATACTTGGATCTGATGAATACAGAGGTTTATTTGTTTCGCAAACATTGTCCCCATTAAATATTAAACTGCTTTTTTCCTCTCTGGGTGCATTCTGGGTAACTGACGTACGACATTTTTCACTCGTTTTGGAAGAAAAAGCTGGCGGGCGCAGTAAGGCTCCACAGGCAATGATGTGGGCAGTTATGGCTGCCATAATCAACAGAGATCCTCTAACGGAGTATTCGTCTAGCAGCATGCGTAAAAATGGCGCGAAAACCAAACTTCCGAGACTTCCACTTGCCATCAGTAAGCCCATCGCAAACCCTCGTTTCTTATCGAAATAATACCCCATAGTGACAACTATGGACGAAAACGAAAGCGCCATCCCAAGTCCTTAAAGAATAAACAGAATAAATGAACATCGAATCATTCTTACAAATGAATAACATTTCTTGATATGGCATTTTTTTTTTCAACAAATAAAAACACTGTTACTCACCAATCAAACAACTATAGCTGAAGAAAAGGTACTCTATCGATACTGCATAGCTACTGGTCAGGAAACCAAAGAAATAGAACAGGCCTCCCAGTACAACCCAAAACCGTGGAGTGAACCGACGCAGACCAAAGACCAGAACCAGAACAGCTGCCAAATCAAACATGACTATTAAAAAGAAATGTTAATGAAACATTCCATCAATCTTCAGAGTTTTTGTCTGAATTTTTTAATTTTGAGTAAGGAGCAAAAAGCAAAAATAAACATTGACTTAATTACAAATTTTCGTGATGGTTACATTTTCGTTGTTTTCGAGGTATGGACAGACATTCGGATTCATGACAACCACGAAATGTTTAAATTTCAAATGCAGTACTGCTCAAAACTTCTCAAACCACGAAATCAAAACTCCATAAACCAATATTTCTTTCTCAAACCTCGAAAATTTTAGATTCAAATATTAGCAATTCAATTAAATTTTATCAGAGAATGAGCTCGAGAGATCTAATTATCATACATGCATTCCAATTTCATGGGGTTAATATGTCTTTTTAAGGGACAAAGCGACAATATTGTAATGGAGTACTAGTATGTGATTTTCGTTTCGTGTATGGTAGACTTTACGATTGTCGTAATTTACTTACATCCGGTACTGGAGGTGAAGTGTATGATAGACTTTACGATTGTCGTAATTTACTTACATCCGGTGCTGGAGGTGAAGTGTATGATAGACTTTACGATTGTCGTAATTTACTTACATCCGTGCTGAAGGTGAAGTGTATGACAGACCTTACTATTGTCGTAATTTACTTACATCCGGTGCTGAAGGTGAAGTGTATGATAGACTTTACGATTGTCGTAATTTACTTACATCCGATGCTGGAGGTGAAGATCATTATCCCCTGCACTAAGGACGCCATTGTTGCGTTGCTGTGGAACATTATAATAAGTTCGACATACAGTACCCCAAACGCTCGGAATGTTCCGGTAATTATAAATGTCGCAACCATAGAGGCTGAAAAATATAGGATTTCAGTTTATAATATTGTTCATTTAAAATTTAAAAATCTACACTACCCCAGGATGCTTCCACAGAAGTTTCAGCTTTTCTGGCCAAGTAGTTCTTGAGAAGATTTTTAAAGTTTTTTCCCTATATATTTCTATGTAAAAATTTGATACCCTATTGTGGCCCCACCCAACCCCAGGGGGGTCATGATTTGAACAATTTAGACCCAAGGATGCTTCCACAAAATTTTCAGCTTTTCTGGCCCTGTGGTTCTTGAGAAAAAGATTTTTAAAGATTTTTTCCTATATATTTTTAAGTTAAACTTTGATTCTCTATTGTGGCCCCGCCCAACCCCCGGAGATCATGATTTGAACAATTTAGAATCCACACTACCCAAGAATGCTTCCACATTAGTTTAAGCTTTTCTGGCCCAGTGGTTCTTAAGAAGAAGATTTTTAAGTATTTTTCCTATATATTTCTATGTAAAACTTTGATTCCCTGTTGTGGCCCCGCCCAACCCCCGGAGACCATAATTTGAACAATTTAGAATCTACACTACTCCAGAATGCTTCCACATTAGTTTAAGCTTTTCTGGCCCAGTGGTTCTTAAAAAGAAGATTTTTAAGTATTTTTCCTATATATTTCTATGTAAAACTTTGATTCCCTGTTGTGGCCCCGCCCAACCCCCGGAGATCATGATTTGAACAATTTAGAATCTACTCTACCCCAGGATGCTTCCACTTAATTTTCAGCTTTTCTGGCCCAGTGGTTCTTGAGAAAAAGATTTTTATTAAAGATTTTTTCCTATATATTTTTAAGTTAAACTTTGATTCTCTATTGTGGCCCCGCCCAACCCCCCGATATCATGATTTGAACAATTTAGAATCTACACTACCCCAGAATGCTTCCACATTAGTTTAAGCTTTTCTGGCCCAGTGGTTTTTAAGAAGAAGATTTTTAAGTATTTTTCCTATATATTTCTATGTAAAACTTTGATTCCCTGTTGTGAACCCGCCCAACCTCAAGGGGTCATGATTTGAACAATCTAGAATCTACTCTATCCCAGGATGCTTCCACATAATTTTCAGCTTTTCTGGCCCAGTGGCTCTTGACAAGATTTTCAAGTTTTTTCCCTATATATTTCTATGTAAAACTTTGATTCCCTGTTGTGGCCCCGCCCAACCCCTGGAGATCATGATTTGAACAATTTAAAATCTACACTACCCCAGGATGCTTCCAAATAAGTTTCAGCTTTTCTGGCCCAGTGGTTCTTGAGAAGATTTTTTAATGACCACACCCTATTTTTGTTTTTTCTTGATTATCTCCACTTGTAAGAGGTCCTGGCCATTCATTTCAATTTAAATTTTCCTTCACCCAAGGATGCTTTGTACCAAGTTTGGTTAAAATTGGCCTAGTGGTTCTTGAGAAGAAGTCGAAAATGTGAAAAATTTAAAGACGGACAGACAGACGGACGGACGGACAAAATGTGATCAGAAAAGCTCACTTAAGCCTTCGGATCAGGTGAGCTAAAAACAAAAGGCCCACTGGCCTTATAGGTCACCTGAGTATCATGTAACAACTTTCCAAGAATTGAATTTTGTTCGTGTTTTAATCCAAAAGCCATGAAATTCACAATTTTAAGAGTTATACCGTTGCTTATCTGAATTATACACTTAGCATGTTTACTTTGGTTACTTAATACGCAAAAGGTAGATCAGAGTAACAAAGAGAAAATGCATTTCCACTTTATAACCACCAGTTGTGCATCCCACCCCACAGGAACCACTGACCCTGCAGCCACATATTTTGAAATTTTGGAAATTTTATCATAAATTTTATTTCATCATAAATGGTTGAAAGGGGCCCTGAAATTCACAAATTGGGAAGAGGCAGCCTTATTCAACATAACTATGTACTTGGTTAGTTTATTTTAATTCCAAGGAGCAGAGAAGAAGACTTTTAAAGAATTAATGTATTTTCACTATGTAATCTATAAAGCCCCGCCCTAACACCAGAACCCCTGACCCTGGGGCCATGTCATTCACAATTTTGGAAGAGACATTCTTGCTCATTATAACTTTGTATTTGGTTAGTTTATTTAATACACATGAGCAGAGAAGAAGATTTTCAAAGAATTTATGCAATGTCACCATATAATCAATAGAGCCCCGCCCTAACACCAGAACCCCTGACCAAGGGGACATGAAATTCAAAATTTTTGAAGAGACATTCTTGCTCATCATAACTTTATACTTGGTTAGTTTATTTAATACACAGGAGCAGAGAAAAAGATTTTCAAAGAAGTTATGCAATTTCACTATATAATCAATAGAACACCGCCCTAGCACAAGAACACCTGACCCAGGGGCGATGTATTTCAAAATTTTGGTAGAGGCAGCCTTATTCAACATAACTATGTACTTGGTTAGTTTATTTAATACATTGGAGCAGAGAAGATTTTCAGAGAATTTATGCAATTTCACTATATAGTCAATAGAGCTCCGCCCTCAGCCACGTAGCATCGTTTTTGAAAGTGGGGGAGGGGGGGGCAGTCAGAAAAAAACATTTTTTTGACTTACCTGAAAAAGTTGACAAGCAAAATTTGAAGGAAATTGCCCAAACTCCAAAACTCGAGGGGGGGGGGTGAGGTTAGAGGCCAACTTCTTTGAATGCCAGAGGCCAACTTCTTTGAATGCCAACTTCTTTCGGTACCAATTTTCCTGCTACTATATTACATTTTCCTTGATATTAACTTAGTGTACTATAAAGTGACGGGAAGGGGGGGGGGGGCAACCAGCCTTTCAATGAACATTTCCAATAGTGAAAGTAATGGTGGCAAAAAAAGTATTACCCAGGCATAACCGTGATCCCCCTGTTGCTACGTCCCTGGCCCTAGCACTAGAACCCCTGACCCAGGGGCCATGAATTTCAAAATTTTTGGTAGAGGACTCAATGCTGCTTACAATCATGCCAACAGTTTGACTGCTTGATGCCCAAGAGTAAAGAAGATTTTTAAAGATCGCATTAATTTTAGCGCTTTTGGTTCCAACCCTCAGGGCCCGGGGGCAGGGACTATGAAATTCACAATTGTTGTTTCCCTTCACCCATAGATGCTTTGTGCCAAATTTGATGGAAATTGGTTGAGCGGTTGTGGAGATGAAGCTGAAAATGTTTAAATGTTAACGCACGGCGCACAATGCACGACGACGGACGAAAACGGATAGCAATAGGTCACCTGAGTAAATAAAGGAAAAAGAATATTCAGTGGCTGTAAATGTATTGTTATATAAGTTATCATTTGTATGATTTTGGAATATACTCGGAATCTTACCTGCAAGTATTACCCAGGCATAACCGTGATCCATTGGGTTTTGTCTAACCTCGGGATCGGCATCCATAGCGTCATCTTTTTCAGGAACTGGATGATGGTCACATTTTCTGGGTGAAGGTTCTTTAATGCTGCCTTCGTATTTAAATGTCATTGTTCATGTGTATTGTGATCTGCACCAGTAATTGATTACTATGAAAATATTATTATATAATTAACATGTTACAACAATCTTTGATCAAAACTTCATCATTAGTTACATAATTATAACATTTGTAAAACCGAATTGATTAAATTGTTTTTACTCAATGTGTAACAAAATATGCTGATTATTGACGATGATGTTCGACGACCAAACAATAAAAATTCTCACTCATTGTAAACAAGCTGTTTCAATTAATTGTGGTCCCCGTCTTTCAAATCCAATATGTTTATAACCTGTGATAAGACCTTTATCACCGGGGAAAATAGGTGTCAAACTTTCTGGCAACAATAAAACATAAAAATGCTAACGATGGAATAGCACTTTATTATAAACTTAGGTCGGTAGGGTGAATTCTGGAAATCCAAAAATTACACCCGAACAATCCGAAGCCTAGGAGTTAACTGATAAACAATGATACATGTATCATATAAATAATGAAATTTAACAATGGCAATTAGCACAATTCTGAGCATGAGTGACAGATGGCTTAGATAGAAAAACTCATGTCACGATGAATAAATTTGCATAAATTAACACATTGAGTTGCAATAGTAATTATCATAATTATAGTGTTTCAAGATGTTAACAGTAATTATAGTTACTAGTAATTAAATTTATATTACAAAGTTTGATAAATGTCACTATAATTGTTTTTATAAAAAATCACACCGTGATACCTTTCTAAATATACTACTTTTTAAAAAAAATTTAACCTTGACCTTAACTTATGAATGAGTAGATATGGCCTTCACATTTCACATGTATATAGTACCTGTGACATGAGATTTATAAATCCATTATGATTTTTTTTTACCCCATGACCTTGAACCTTGACGTTTGACCTTTTGAAAAATCTTATTTTCCCCTATTACTTTTGATTGAGAAGAGATAGGGCTTTCATATTTGACACAATATACCAAAAATAATGACATCTGACCCAAAAAGACACCAAAAGCGGAGGACCCCAGTTCTTTGCTGGTTCATAGCATATTTGTCAAATATGAACTTCCTATCAAAAGTCAATCATAAGTAATCACTCAGTTCAGCAAGCTCACATTGTGTCCTAAATATTTGCAAAGTTTGACGAAGTTCTGTGCAGCGGTTTATGAGGAGTTGCGCTGACAAACTGTTCATCTCTATATTCAAGGTATGGCCAAAAATTGAAGTTGAAAAGTGCCGAAATTCCCGGAAAAAATAAAGGAATGGAAATGCCCTGGTAATATGCACATCATTGTGTCATAAATATCTGCAAAGTTTGACAAAATTCTGTGCAGCGGCTCTATATTCAAGATATGGCCAAAAATCTAAGTTGAAAAGGGCGAAAATTCCTGGAAAAAAAGTAGGAATGGGATTTTCCCGGTAATATGCACATCTACGCACTGTGTACTAAATATTTGCAATGTTTGAAATAATTCTTCTGTGCAGCGGTTTTTGAGGAGTTGCGCTGACAAAAAAAAAACAGGACTGACGGACTGACAGACACACTGACTGACTGACGGGTCAACAACATTATACCTCTTGTTGCGTGGGGTATAATTAAGGACCCTCCAAAAGATTGTGACTTTAAATCTTTGCGAAGGAACAGTTACTGCTTATAATATATATCTATGTACGTCTAAGTTTCACGCAGTACGACAAACGAGAATCGAACCTTTGAACCTTATCAGAATCTGAAGCAAATCCTGTTTTGTTTGTTTGTATGTTGCTTAAGGTTCCTCAGATGGAGACGCCACCACTTGCTGGTGGAGGGCTTCAAATTTTAACTTGTACTCGTCACTCAGGTCTATTGAACAGTAGGGGATCTTTTTCGTGCCAGCACCTACTGCGACACGGGACCTCTGTTATACAGTGGATAAGAACCCGCGACCAAAGGTTCAAATCCTTACACCTGAGCAAGCGCTTTAATCACTGCGCCACGCACATGACGCAGACGACAACAAATCTTGTAGATTCTATCCCAAATGAATCATTTATATAAGTCTAGAATAAGAAGGGCTTAGAGTTTGCTGAAACTCTGTTGGGTATTCATCTGTTTTCCAATTTCAGAAATGGACGTAACATCCGAAGGTAGTCTTGAATTGTGTATTCCTACCAACATATTCTTTACAAGTTTGATTTAATTTGGAGTTACCCGAGAATGAGACATTAACCTGTTCATATGGGAAATGCCGTCTCTGAAACCTTACTGTAGACAATGAAAGAAGTGATAGAATCTTATGCAATATACACCCAAATCTGGTCAAACAATCACAATAGCAACCTATATCTTAACCGAAATATTCAGAATTCAGACAATTATAATATTACTATCCAAAACGTAAGCATGCGCACTTTCACTCAGGGTTCATATATATGCTTTATCGATATACATAAATGGAATACTTGATTCTAATGCTCGAACTTATGGGAATTTAATATTTCGCATACCTTATCGTAGATAAGGTATAGATATAAGGAGGTTCAAACTTGTCATGAAAACATATCACATCACTTTAACAGAATGATTTGATCATGCAATAATGATAATTATGAATATTCATTCATAGGTACGTTACAACAAAATCATTCAAGATGAGATACTTTAAGATTTTACAATATCAATCCGAAAAACAAAACTTACCCTATCGACATATGACTACGGTCCGTTCTTGGTCCACGAATTGAACACGCTGAGAGAAATCTGAAAACCCTACAAACCTTTCCAACATGTCAATTAATCAAATGATAAAACTGACCATGGCCCGGGTGTCCGTGGCATGTGGAAAGAACGATTTAGAAGTAAACAAATATATATTTAAACGTTTTTAACCTAGACCTCAAAACAGTATGTGGTCGCGCTGTGTTTGTATCAGTACAAAAAATTATTAAGATAAATTTTAAATTTTGTTATCATTCAAACAATGGACTACGACGGCGTATTCGTGCCATATTGACAATGTAGAGAAAATTTTTAAAAAATCGTTTGTACGATATTTTGAATCATTTGAACGATTTAGAAAATAGTTTGAACGATTTGGAAAATCGTTTTACGATTTGTTAAATCGTTTGAACGATTTGTTAAACGATTTAGAAAATTGTTTGAACGATTAAGAAAAACGTTTGAACGATTTAGAAAATCGTTTGTACGATTTGTTAAATCGTTTGAACGATTTAGAAAATCGTTTGAACGATTTAGATAATCATTTGAAAGATTTAGATAATCGTTTGAACGATTTAGATAATCTTTTTTTACGATTTTTTTCTTCTGATTCGAAACAGAAGGGTACTGGATAAGAAACCTGGTAAAGCTATTGCTTAGAGAAGTCCCTTCGCTGCTGACTATAATAGGTACAGAAAAACTTTTAATAAATTGTATCTTTTTATTTAAACTGTATGAATATTATTGTAATGTTATAATTAGTTAACCATGATATCACAATTACATTCACAATGTTTTTATGATCACTTGTATAATCGGGCTCCATATTCCATCAACTGCGAAATTATATATTAGTGTACAATCTTCGTCTTAATCTGTTTCTTTTCCTTAAACACACTCCTTCCGGATCTTATATTAAAAAAGACATCGAATATCCTCTTGAGAAACGGTAAATCCTGCCATAACAGCTTTCCAGTACAATCACCTAGAGCTGTATCCATGCAATCGACCACATGACTCAAGTGTTTCCTCAATGAAAAGAGCTACATCCCATGTCGGATTTGTCCTCACGTCTGAACAGTCCCAACTTACCTGTTGTCCTTTTCAACGTTCGTTCAATAAAAGACTCGGTGAGTTTGCAAAAGGATCTGTGCAATTTCCGAAAAAATGAAACCCATCTTGAAATATCCCTTGATCAATTTTTCTCTGTCATTCATCGTGTCATTCATTAAAACTATGCGTGGATACGTTGTCCTACTTGTGCAAGGTTTTCTACTACGCTTCTTCTACGTGTCATATACACAAGAAATAAAAATTGTACAAACGATTTGCTAAATCGTACACACGATTTTCTAAATCGTTCAAACGATTTTTTAAAAAAATCGTTCAAACGATTTTAATTTTTTTTTCTACATTGTCAATATGGCACGAATACGCCGTCGCAATGGACAGAACGTATTTTGATTATTTTTTATAACACAATTCAAGTTCTTTTTACAGAATGTGTAATACAATTGTTTATATTAAATACTAATATATGGAGACAGAAGACCCTAACAGAGATACAAGCATTAAGAATGTAAAATCTTTAGATTGCAACCGACAAAACACAATCGTTTGTAAAAGCAAACAAAAAAGTAACAACTAACTCTTACTTAACAATTTATTGAAAATAATGTCACTCATAATTAATTAATTCCCAGACATTCAGGAGGGGGTGAAAATTTACGTCGTCTTAAAAAGAAGTGTTCTTGCCCTGAGCCTTTAACAACTCGGAATTCTAAAACAAATGGAAGGTAGAGGTATTTTTCTATTTTGAAAACTAGAAATATGTCCATAGGACATGAATGCCCCGCCGAGAATATATTAGTAAAGCAACATGAAAATTTATATGTGAATAAAATTTAATCAGTTTGGTTCAGGTAGGGCTTATAGTTAGTAGGGAATAAAAATGTAGGTCAGATCCAGCATCCGAAGCAAGTCTGGTAGTGACCATCCCTAGATGCATCATCCATGCAAGTTTGGTTCAGGTAGGGCTTATAGTTACTTGGGAATGAAAATATAGGTCAGATCCAGCATCCGAAGCAAGTCTGGTATTGTCCATCCCTAGATGCATCATCCATGCAAGTTTGGTTCAGGCAGGGCTTATAACTTCAAGGGAATGAAAATATAGGTCAGATCCAGCATCCGAAGCAAGTCTGGTAGTGTCCATCCCTAGATGCATCATCCATGAAAGTTTGGTTCAGGCAGGGCTTATAGTTACTTGGGAATGAAAATATAGGACAGATCCAGCATCCGAAGCAAGTCTGTTAGTGTCCATCCCTAGATGCATCATCCATGAAAGTTTGGTTCAGGTAGGGCTTATAGTTACTAGGGAATGACAATGTAGGTCAGATCCAGCATCCGAAGCAAGTCTGGTAGTGTCCATCCCTAGATGCATCATCCATGCAAGTTTGGTTCAGGCAGGGCTTATAGTTACTTGTGAATGAAAATGTAGGTCAGATCCAGCATCCGAAGCAAGTCTGGTAGTGTCCATCCCTAGATGCATCATCCATGAAAGTTTGGTTCAGGTAGGACATAAGTTACTAGGGAATGAAAATGTAGGTCAGATCCAGCATCCGAAGCAAGTCTGGTAGTGTCCATCCCTAGATGCATCATCCGTGCAAGTTTGGTTTGGGTAGGGCTTATAGTTCCTTGGAAATGGACCTGCTCCAAAAACTTTAACCTGGTCACTCATCTGGAAAATGTAGTTCAGATCCAGCATCCGAAGCAAGTCTGGTAGTATCCATCCTTAGATGCATCATCCATGCAAGTTTGGTCCAAGTAGGGCTTATAGTTCCTTAGGAATTAACCTGCTCCAAAAACTTTAACCTGGTCACTCATCTGGAAAATGTAGGTCAGATCCAGCATCCGAAGCAAGTCTTGTAGTGTTCATCCCTAGATGCATCATCCGTGCAAGTTTGTATCAACACGTGAAGTTTGATAACACATCTTGAATGGTATGTTTAAAACTGAGCTAAACACTGATATAAGAAAAGTGAGGTCAAGGTCAAAGGAAAGGTCAAGGTCAAAAAATGTTGATGCAGTTGCATAGCCCTCATCAATATCTATCAGCAAATGAAGTTTGATGAAAATATCTTGGATAGTTTCTTTGAAACTTAGCTTTGAACAGAGCTAAACGCAAAGTGTGACGGAAGGACAGAAGGACGGAAGACGGACATGACAAACACTATATGCCCCGGCCATATTCATGGCGGGGCATAATAAAAAGTTTAATTAAAACTATAAATGGGACGAGAATGCTTTGTAATGAAAAAAGGTATCCTAAGATGCAATATTTGGTGTAAAATGGGTTTACAGTCACTTGTTTATAATCTTTAAACTAGTTATTTATTCAAAAATTGTAAGTCAAATTCAGCATCTAAAGTTTACATGGCGTATCTGGGTTAAAGAAAATAATAATACAAGATTGAGTATAGATATACAAGATATCTGCTATTTACATGTGTCTGCTCTAGAGGCGCGGATTGAGTGGGGAGTTGATCCTTATGTCGGGGGTTCGAATCCAACTGCAGGACGTGGAGAATGGTCCTTCTGAAGAGACAGTATAAACTGAGGTTCCCGGATCGCAGTAGGTATCGGCATGGAAAATATTCCTCACTGCTCGATGGCACTAAGTGCCGAGTATAGGTATAAATAATTAAATATACAGCCCATCACCATCAAGTGGTGGCGTCTTCAAATGAGTAAAAATTTCTCGATCGAGACGTTAAACAGCAAACAATCCTGGTGTTAGGAAGATTTGCCTTAGCTTTCCCTTGTGACACCAAAACAAGTTTGAAGCATTAACAAACCTCATTTTATGCTTCGTGTTTTAGCCCCTTGTGAATTGCGAAAATTCGGGTTTACTTGACACCATACAATCCAGAAATTTTGCCTATATTGTCTCTTTTGGCGTTTGATCCCCCTTCTAACAGGGGCTAAACCGTGCAGACCTCGTCGGGTTCGCATTAGTGCACATGTCACAGACTGGGTGTCTGAAACCTTTTTAAAATCCCTATATTAAGTCTTAAAAAGCATAAAAAGAGTCCCCAAGATGGCTAGTGGCGTAACCCTACCATGTCACAGAAAACACGAGTAACACCAATAAGACATAATGCTGGTGGTTTTCCTAAGTGGCACTGAAATGTTCGGCTCAGAAATATTAAGGCACGAGTTTTACCTTTCCGCACCAGGGGCTTTCAGCTAATGGATCCCTTTCGTTTAAGAAAAGCAGGTCTACATGGCAACTTGGTGCTCAAGGGCGGTGTTTCTTTGCCATTTTGCACACCAAAACTGTCGAACGGGGCCACATTTGGACCCTGGGTGTCAGGATCAGCTAAATTACACAAGTCCTTGTAGGAGCACCAGCCACTTTCTCTAGACCCCTACAGTTTCTTATAAACTAGGATACACCTGGTGTCCTGGTGCATGGAAACTGTGCCTTAACTTTCCTTTATGACATCAAAACAAATTAGAAGCGCCCAAAAGCCTCTTTTGAGTGTTTGTCGCGCTTTCTCGCCACTTAAAGTTAACGAACGTATGGGTTAAGTTAACACCCCAAAACCCAGAAGTTTTGCCTACTTTAACTGTTCCTATTTGCTCTAGCAATATTAAGGCACGAGTTTTATCTTCATGCACCAGGCGCTCTTAGTAGATGCCTTTTGTAGGATTTAGTAAGGGGGTCTTCTCGGAAACTGGGTGCTCCGGGGTGGTGTTTTTGCCATTTTCGACATCGGAACTGTTGAACAGGGCTACATTTGGGCCCTGGATGTTAACAAACCCTTGTAGGAGCACTAGCCATTTTCTATAGAACCCCCCCCCCCCACGCTTCACTTTTACAAGAATAAACTTTGCGTCCTGATGCCAGGAACTGTGCGTTAACTTTCCTTTGTGAAACCCAAACAAATTAGAAGCGCCCACAAGCCTCTATTCAGTGCATGTCGCGCTTTCTCGATAGTTGAATTTAACGTACGTATGGGTCTAGTTACTAGTAACACCCTACAACCCAGAAGTTTTGCATTCATTAATTGTCCCTTTTTAATTTGCTCTAATTCCCCTGTCCTTGGCTTCTCTGTATGATACTCTGTAACCCAGAAACTTTGTCT